TGCAAAGATAATGTTACAATAGAATAATTTGTGAAGATATTCACAAAGTAAATATTTGTTGGATTGTTCTTAGAATTGTAGAATTAGTTGGACAAGGGATTATGTATTTTAATGTTGTAGGATGCACAGAATTGATGGACGCGGTTGGATTTGACTTGACGCGAACTTGCTTAATTCATCTCCATTTTAATTTATTTTTGGGGTACCTGATATCTTTGAGTTCGGTAGCTGGATTGAAAGCCTCAGGCATCAATAGCCGCAGATTTACTGAAGAATGCTGAATCCCCTAAGGTGCCAGGAATGGGCTCCATCGCTTAACAGAAGATTATCAACCAATCAAATCCATAGGATCCCGAGAGTACTTGTGATTTTGAAAGACTTTTTTATAATAACTATAAATTATTTAAAATCGTTGTAAATGTTATCCATTTTAAATAAAATAATTATAATGTAATATATAAAATCGGTTTCTTGATACTTTTCAGAGACTTCTTGTGGAAAACTATACTTTGTATGCTTATCACTAATATTCCAGTAAAATTCAAGATTTATATTCAATATAATCTCAATCGTGGTGCTTGCCCCCCCTCCCCGAGTTTAGCAGCCGTCGCATTGGGCAAGGCGCGTGCACAAGCCAGCCGCCGCTATCAACATCTATAAGAATCGCGCTCCCCTCTCCACGACCTCCTCCCTCTTCAATCCTGTTCAAACATCTCCTCGTTTGGTCATTCAGGCTCGCTGTGCATCGTAAACCTCTTCTCATGTTGACCCACTTCCATTTCCCCCTACATCGGCCTCGTCGTAGCTGAGAAACGACGACTGTACTACTCGTCTCGAACCACAAATCTCGATTTCCTACCTTGAGCTCGATGCTCTTTTGGCTGATGTGATGAAAATGAATCAACTTACTTGTCTTTGCTCATCAAGGGACAAAGAATACGGTAGTCTATCTTCTATTCTCACCCGAACTGTATATCGGCGATTACAAGAGAAGTGGTAGGATATGAAAATGTATTAGGGGCGCGATATACTAATCCTTCTGCCGGAAGGTGGTTCGCTTGGAGCTATAGTCATTTCTGTAATGGGACTATCCGCCGGTCATGACCCGTACGCTGGAGAGCTAACAGTCTCCGGCTGGGATGGGCGAGTGTATGAGATAAGGAGCTCCTGCGGAAAATTGTAGAGAGTACGTTCTATTGGGCACCCTGCCTGCAGGAGAAACGTGTTTAAACTATGTTTTCCCCATTCCTGCTTCCTTTTTGACAGTAGACTATGGTCACCCGCTTGCCCGCCGGCTCCGCGCAACTCACCTACAGAATCTGAGAGGAACAAAGCTGAGGATACTTGAACCTCTGGTTCCATTCGCCCCCAGACCAGTACTCTCCCCTCCTTCACTTTACGGCAGGCTGCCGCATAGATCTTACTGGGGGGATCAACAAAGATGAAGCAGCTAGACTTTTTACTATATGGTGGAATAGTCTCCCAGGGGACTATATTACTGTTTTCTCAGACGGTTCAGAGCAGTATAAGGATAATCGGAAAATAGTCGGGTCTATACAAGGCAAGTGCTCATCAGCTCAGACCACGGCGATTTTGCATCGTACCAGCGTCGATTCAAGCACTTCGATGCGATCCTAGAGTGTATATTCGGAAAGAAAAGACCCTAGAACACAAAGTGGTCTGTAAACGCTCCCGGACTAGTTTTGCAGGCTGGCCGCTCAAGCCTAAAAGTCTTCTGTCCAGTACGCAGTAAAAATTTGAGTAACCAAGGAAGCTGGTTGCTAGACCAAAGGACTTTGTTACCTTCTTGAATTAAACTGGCTACTTTGAGCACCTTGACAGGGAGCGTTTACTTAACCGCTCTACCCCTCACTCTTTTTCAACACCCTCCTAATCACAATAAAGCGCGCTGTATTGTGAAAATGAACAATCTTACATACGCATATGTAGGATTTTTATTTTTCCAGGGCGTCATTGATGGGCTCTTGTATTTTCTTCCGAAAACTACGTGGCCTGTGAAAAGACTCTGTATCATATCGGAAATTCGGTATGCAGTGCAAAGTTATCAGACTCAGGCGTGCAATAATAGCTAGACTTCATTTATTTCCGATCAAATCAAATCAAATCACAAGGAATTATCTAATAATTAAGAAATAATGATTGTTTAGCACAAGTTTGATATTTAGATATTATTGGTTACTAGTATATACATTTTCGTTTATCCGCATAACAATGACTCTATGTATTTTCCGTTTCAGAGATACATATACAAGCCAATATATTCAAATTTCAACTGCCTTTTTCCCCTTCACCAAGCATCCTTCATAGACACTCTAGTCACACAAAACACCTCTAATACATTGCCGGTCTATCCTTAATCCAATCTCGAACTCGAAGCTACAGCTATCGATGAGGATAGAGCTCAGTAGAAAAAGAATCTTAGCTTTTTTACCCAAAGAATCGATAGAGATTATGGATATAACCACACATTTACCATCATATATAACGGCAAACACTTTATTGTTATAATCTACTCTACCTCCTTTCCTAATGATCCAATAATATCCCTATTATCTCAGTTTAACAAAACAACTGCGGAGGATAATGATAAACATTTAGAAGAGATCGAAAACGCTATTGAGGATACAATCTATGAAGCCGGATAGTGCAAGTTTGCTATCTTAGTCTGGAGTTGAAAGAAGACCTTCAAATCCGTCTATCTCTTTATAATCTGCCTTTAATCCAGAAAGTTTTAGTTTCGCTTGGTTATCGATGAAAACAATGCAGATATAATTCAACAATATTCTTCTCGATCAAACTTTATCTCCTGCCTAGATATCAATCCTATATCGGATTTGCCTAGAGATTTAATACAAAGATTCTGTTTACTAAAAAAATATAGGTACTGGGTATATCGCGAAAGTCTTTATCAACGGACAGGATATGTGCTGCAAGATGCTAACGCCTACTCACGGTAACTCAAGTTGGCTTGACATAGCAAGGTCACCAGGAGGTTCATCCTGCCATCATTCTAAACACTCCCGTCGTTCTAAGCTTCAGGAGTTCATTTAGTAGAGCACTAGCTTTACAGCAGCTGTGCAATGTGAATACAAGTGTTTAAAGAAGATAGAGGACTCAAAGCACGCATCTTCCATTAGAGCACCTATACTGATGGATTGTGTTGTTAGCCATAATGATAATGGGGTTATTGGGATTCTGGAGGAGTATATTCCATAAACAACAACTTTACATGGGTTTCATAAAGATATCAAAACTATTGATAGCCAACGGAGATAAAAGTGGGCGGAACAGATTAGATATAACATTGAATTGTTGCATAAGATTGGTGTGGTATAGGGTGATAGCAAATTATATAATATTTTTGTTCATAACGAGATAGATGATTACTATCTAATTGATTTTGGAAATAGCTGGATAGATGATTGGGTTGATGCGAAGTTAATAAAGATGAAGGCTGGTGATATACAGTGGTTATATAAATAAATGATGTAAAACCCACTTTTACTAAAAACTTACTGTTTTTATATATTCTACTACTGCTTTAAGCAATTCAAATACATATTAAGCTATCTCCCTCAAATTTCGATTTTCAAGTTCTCTTTTACTTATAAAGGCTTACAAAACTTTCAAAATTTTTAAAGGTTTTGATAAACTACCTAACAGAATTATTAAGGAATAGATCCACTTTAATACACTAGTATACTAAAATCTATATTTATAATACTTTCTTCAACTTTAATTCATTATAATAATTTTCAAAGAGCATAATATTTTAATTGGCTAAAGCCTTTATATATAGGGAAAAGTACGGCCGCTTTTTGGTGTGTTTTACAATACTTACCCTTACAACCATCGTACATCATTTCTGCGCTAGCAATTATGTTCTCTCCACTTTCCAATACTCCACCATTCAACGATCCAGAATACCTTATACAGCTTGTATCAACACTCAATACGTTATGCTGGGTCGTATGAGAATACGTACGGATTGCTTCGCGGGTTATACAAACGCGTGGATCGTGAGGTAAATTTTGTGAATTGGCCTGCTTGGTCAATAATTATAAAAGAGCGAAATAGGTATGATCCAAGCAATAATGTTGATGAGGAGGATGTTAGTATATAGAGGATGATTTCACTTCGCGATACAGCTAGTAATACAGAATTCGAAGCCACTCGTCTTTGGTCTGTATTAAGGTATAATCCGCAACTATAGTAATTCCATTATTTTCAACTTATCAGCTCTATATTCACGATTCATGATCACATAATCGAACTTTGGGTTCCATATATCCCCGAACACTTACTTGGATATTGGGTTCCAGAGGTAGTAAACAGAAAAATCAGTCATAATGGAATCCGAATGCGATACTCAAATGTGATATTCGTATCGAATGCATGCCATCATAATCATAGGATATGGTGATTTCGTCTCCAACGTTGATGGGTTGAATGGCGTAGATTCTTTCGTGATTTTTTGCCTGCATGTAGGTAATCAAATAAGATAGGAATTTGATCTGAGCATATTGAATTGATTCAACATGAACTCCATTCTTTCTATCATCTACAAAAAGCGGATATCATCACCCAAATCGATATCCTTCCATTGCTTCACCATCTTCCACTCGTGATATTGCCCACAGATCTATGATAGGTAGAATAGAGAAGAGCTGACGCAGTACCTTAATTAGGTAAGCAAACTTTTATCTACCAATCCATCGATAAATTCATTTTTCTACATGTTCCTTTCTTTTTAATTCTCCCCAATCCTTCCGACCATGATCCAATACCAAGGATGAGAGAGACGTTGGGTCATGAAAGCCTATAAAATTCCATCCACTTTGAAGAGCCATGCTATACTATGCCTTCAATCCATGACGCTATTTCGTTTGAGAAACCTCGAAGTACTATATAGAAAAGCTTTTATACCCTGCATATCTCGCAACGCTGCCGTTCCCCACACACGTCAGAGATGGTTCCCCTCACAGCTTAGCAAACTCCTCCTTAATGATCTCCACGACCTTAGCATCGGTTCCCTCAAGTCCCGATTCCACGACCTTCTGGAAGCGAATCTTCTGTTCTTTTACACTTTCATTCTCCTTGTCAATAGCTGATGCAGCCATGAGACATTTAAGCGCGAGGAGGTGTTTCTCTATTCAGTGTGTTAGTATTGCATCCATAATGAGACACGCTAAAAAAAAAGAGAGAACTTACGTCTACGAACAAATACCTCGAATCCCAGAATTTGCGCCTCAATATTCTTGGGACTGAACTGCAATAACGGACTCAAAAACTTCATAGCATCAACCAGCGGTTCCTTGGTCTCTGCTAGTTTCTCTCCATTGGGATCATCATCCTTCTTCTTTACTTCCCCATCCTGATCCTTCACTGGCTTATTGGGTTCATTTTTCTTTGCCAAAGCTTCTTTTTCCAGACGCTCTGCTTCCTTTCTCGCCTTCTTTGCTGCCTTCTTGCGTTCCAGAGCATCTGCCTCGGATTCTTCTGCAGATCCGTTGACTCCGTTTGATGTTGGCTTATCATGCATCGAAAGATACACTTTTACGGCCGAAAGAGCTGCTCGACTATAAAAGGGGTGTTCTCTGATTTTATCTTCCCACTTCATCATATCTACATAGGCTCTAATTTGACCCTTACGTAAGAAGAAAGAATGGAAATCGAATTGATCTTCATACCAGACATCAAAAATGTTGTAGACTGCCGTAAATCTCTTGAGAGCCAAGCCAATTTTATTTTGGCGAGCATAAGACTCTCCATCCTCTGTCAAAAACCAGACACATTGCATATCATGAAGATCTGCTAGCGGTCCACCCACAGTCTCAGCCCTTGTAAACATGCCCATAGTCTTCAAGGCGTTTTCGTTTTCATCATTTCTAAGTTGATACTTGGCAGCCTTGGTGTTGATGTGACGATCCCTGGTGTCAAGACTGCGAGCTTCTTCCATTATCTCAGAGGCTTTTTGAGTATTTCCTTGATGCTTAAATATACGCGCCTTTGTCATGTGGAAATCTACGCTCTTAGGTTCTAATTCGATAGCTTTCTCAATATACTCCAAAGCCTTGTCAAGGTCGCGGCTCAAATAATAGTTGTAATGTTGTGCGAGGAAGTAGTAAGCCGAAGAGTTGCCCTTGGATGTATCACCGTTTCTCTTTGGTTCCGAACTTTCTTCACTTTTCCCACTCTCGATATACTGTTGAACGATAGACGGTAAGACTTCCTTCTTAGATGCATCGGCATACAGATGCTTCAGGTTTGCGAATGTGGATGGAACCCCCTTATCCAGCATACGGTGAATGTACTTGTCTGCGGCCTCTTTAAATTCCTCCCCTTCTAAGAAATCCAACGGTAACCGGCGCGCAGCGTCACATCGTGGGTATTTCTCTGCATATTCATCGTAAATAGCTTTGCGAGCCTTCAAATCGGTTGGGTCGATCTCCATAGCTTGGATTAAGGAATCGTAGTAGGTTTTGAATTCCTGGTTGCGGTCCACCAGCGCACGATATGCCTTTACAGCTTCCTCCTTTCGTCCAAGCTCGAACAAGTATTTTGCCCTCAGCTCCATAACAGCTAGCCGGTCGAGGTTGTGTTTGCCATCCGATTCGAGACATTCCAAAGCTCTCTTGATATCACCTTGTTCTGCGATCAACGTAATTTTGTACATAACAGCTTCCGAGTTCTCGAAATCGAGTTTGGAGGGTGGATTCTTCAAAGTTCCCTCATACGTGGTCAGAGTTCTCTCTGCTTCTGCCAATTCGCCATTGAGATGGTATGCCACAGCTAAAGCAGTCCAGCTTTGTCGACTGGTAGATCTAGCAGTTAGCATAGCTTTGCGACTAACAATATAGCCTGCATAATCACGCATTTGTACTTGTAAAAGCGCCAAATCTCTCTGGATCTGCTGCGAGTCTGGTTCTAGCTTTAGAGCAAATTTGTATGCTTTGATAGCTTCTTCGAAGTTTTTTGCGGCACGATAGAGCAGCCCGTAGACGTGCCAACAGACGTGTGATTTGAAGTCGCATTGGAGAGCCACTTTCGCAAGCGCAAACGCTTCATCGGATTTCCCTTGAGAATTTAGAATCAAAGCTTTCATGGCCAAAGTATCTCCATGTTTAGGGTTCTTTTTCAGAATCTGGTCGGCAGCTTTCAAACCTGTGGATTGTAAGTTGGCGACTGTGAACAAGCTGTCATATGTAGCGCACCTTTCTTGTACTGCTTATCTTCATAATTTCGAACCACGGTCCTGAAGAGTGAGGACTCTTTCGAAGATAAAGGTTGTGGCATGACTGCTCAATTGCGTTTGCCAGAAAAGCTATTCAACAGCGTGGGGGGTTAAAGATTGTTCTGTGATTCTGACGTCAGGATTCACAATACTTTGGTGTTCTTTTAAATGGTCTTGATGTCGTATCAAAGTCCTTCACAACAATTTAAAAGTCCTAGACTGTACGTTCCGTCTCACAGGTGGGAAGTTTCCTGCTCTGTTGGGAAGTTGCGTTGTTTGGAGGGGTTGTGTATTAATAAGTTATACTGAACTTTCGAGGTTGCAATGGTGGAAAGTTCCGGCTATTTTCCGGGCGAATTTCATATCCGCTTTCAAATATGTTGTGCTCTCACTGAGATGGTATTAATAAGACATTAAGAAAGATTACTAGTGCAATGTAATGCAAGTCTAATTAATTGCTTTCTCCATTTGGTGTTTAGGTTACCATTAGAAAATGTCTAGATTTGAAGCATTTGGTAAGATTTTGTGTGATTTATGTTATTCCCAACAACTAGGCATCCTGTGTTTTGCTCTCGTGCAATGGTGTAAGGTATGCATGCGTTATACTTTTAAATTAGTTGGAGATGATTCTTTCTATTGCTTCTCATACACTCATACAAGCTTCTCAGATATGTCCATCAGTAGCCATTTAGTCCTCTGTATATATTTTCCCGAACCCATCCAAAAACTCCCGCTTCTGTGCAGTCTTGCACATAAACATCCAAATGCACACTACTATCTCATTGAGGTCTTTCCCTATTCTTCCTCCACTGATCCATAGCTTCTTCCCAGCTCTCCGAATCTCCGCCGCATCTCTCCCTAACTAACCCCCAACTCCTCGCCCTCACAATATTTTCCACCCCTCTTTCTTGCCTCACAATAGCAGCCAACCTCTCGGTCCGCGCCTCTTTCGGGAAGAATCTCGCAGAATAAGGATCTAATCTCTCATCTACCACCCTCTCCCTATCCCTAGCATTCTCAACCTGTCTCTCCAGCATGTCTGGATCATCGGGGTCCGGACTCGTAGCAACCGAAGCGCAATAATTCAGCACATCTGATCTCGTCTGCCACGAAGAAAATAAAACTGATTCCTTAAATTTCTGGCATGCAGTGGAAGATATTTGTTTTGAATGAGGGGATCGAGGATTGCGAATCGAAGTAGATGAGGGGTCAAACCCTTCCCTCGAAGGTGTTACGAGCGCATTGAGATTTTGTGTTATACTATCGTCAATTGAGGCGCGAGATATGCGAAGGAAATCTATAGAGTATTAGTCCTATTTGTGCATAATATTAGAATATACATTGAAATACCTCTCAGCGCAACTGTTGAGAAACAAAACTGGGGAGTTAATGTTTGGGGTGTTGGAGCAGGTTTCGCCATTGTCTCTCGGGGAGCTGTCTTTCTAACCTCAGCTCGAGAGGTTGTTGACCAAAACCAGTTCGCCAGTGTGAAAATAAATGAATTGAAAAGGAAAGTTTAATTGTATGAGATTGATCTGCAAAATTGATTTTGCTTGCCCAAGTGGTGAGTGGCCAAATGAAGCTGAGGCGAGAGCTCGACTTTCTTTTTGATTACAATACATCATATCTTAGCGTCCGATAAAGCTCCCTTCTATGACGATGGTTGGAGGGGTCCATGTCTCGTTTTCTTCCAACATTTCTTATTGAAGTCTTTCATTTTCTTCATTATGATTTTAAATGTCGAATTCACATACAGATGTTCTTCTTGTAAGTTTCTTTGGCTCATCAAAAATTGTAGCAGCGAAAGCAAGCAAGTGTGTTTGCGTGGAAAAATTACCCCTCCATATGGCTTCTAATTGGCTACCGGTGAGCCAGGGGAAAGGTAAACAAAATACCAATAGCCGCGATGAATAAAGCACCAAGGACTTTCAAGTTGTCGATTTTTTGATATCATCGGGGGACACTGTGATGTCTTTCATGCTTCATACACAATTTCTGATTTGGAATGTTTTGATCACATTTCTAACACAACTCGCAGGCGGGGGCGTTTGCAGCAGTAGCTGTCGACCTTCTAGTATACCCTTTGGATACTCTTAAGACCCGATTCCAAAGTCCAGATTATAAAAAGATCTACTTTGATGCATCGAAAAAAGCCATCAATCGTGGTTTACTATTTCGAGGTTTATATCAAGGAGTCGGACCTGTAATTCTGGTGACTATACCTTCATGTATGAGCTCCCAAGTTTCTGAATCTAGCTCAATATTAATGTTTCGCAGCAGGAGCGTTCTTCACCACGTATGAAGGAATCAAATCTGTTCTTACCAAAGCAAATACAAGCTTCGGTGGCAACAACACGCCACTGATACCCCAACCTTTTGTGCACAGCGCAGCTTCGGCGGTAGCTGAACTGGTATCATGCTTTATATTGACTCCTGCGGAGGTATTGAAACAAAATGCACAGATGATTCGTCGACCAGCTCACTCCTCAGCATCTGGGGCTTCTGTTACTATGCAGGCATTGAAGAAATTCAAAAGACCTTCGCAATTGTTCACAGGATACACGGCATTAGCTGCCCGGAATCTACCGTTCACCGCAATGCAATTTCCTATGTTTGAGCACATGAAAGAGTCGATCAAAAACTACCGGAGGCAAAATGGGACTATGACCGGTTCGTTGCTCGAGACTGCAACAATAACAGCAGTTAGTGCTGGAAGCGCCGGATCTATTGCAGCTGTAATCACAACACCCGTCGACGTAGTGAAGACCCGGATTATGCTTGCAGCATCGGGAGAAAACACTGAGAGTGAGGCAAAGAAGAAGATAGAGGAAGCCAAAAAGAGAGGCCAATCCATTAATAATCTTGGAGGGAAGAAAAAGGGCAGTCTCACAATTGCTCGAGAAGTTATTGCGGAAGCTGGAATGAAAGGATTGTTTCGAGGTGCTCTTTTAAGAGCCGGCTGGACGGCATTGGGTAGCGGCCTCTATTTGGGGTCTTATGAAAGTGGAAGAGTATGGCTGGGAGATCGACAGGAGCCTAAACTTTAAGACGGAGCTTCATGAATCTGGGGTAGTGGCCCCACTACGTCTACAATGCCACAGTGGGTATATGTATGATAGGATGATGATAGGACGAAAAGACTACACGCACGATTATATTTAATTCTACGTGGACAATCAGAGTTCTGCGGTCCATGACCCCCCCCCCCCCCCCACCGATGTCCCTCACTCATGTGCGTGCGCTTTCAAGATTCGAATATCGCCAAGCTTATCAGATTCTCGACTTGATGGAAACAATCATACAAAATATCAACACACAATTTTGCTTTCACTTTTGCGCGGAACTATGAGTAGTTCATCGGTTCGATGGTATTTTCAGCTATGGACAGTAGCAATGGTCATCAGTAGGCTCATATGCTGAGCTATTGATAGTGACAGTAGTGACAGTGACTTTGAGGAAATCTGTAAATGTAGACCAAGCAAACTATAGAAATGAAGCGGATCTTGTTGCAAAGAGGATGGACGTCTATTCAAACTCTGCGTAGGCGAATCATTCCGGTCGAGTCATAAGGAGAAGTGTCAAAGATGTTGAAACGTGCACAAGGAAGTATAATTGAATCTGACCACACAAAACTTCGAATGAATCTCCATCTCATCACCGAGAAGAAGCCATCCAAGATTCGATTGAAAATGGTGCTAGTGAATTGAAGATGAATTCAAACGAAACACTTTGCTCATTCGTATCAATTACCAGTCATTGGGAGACCAAGCGTTCCAGCTCAAACGTCTAAATTAGGCTTCCCGGTCTGAGTAATCTCTGGAACTCTAAATCTTCTCTAACCAAGTAGAACGGGCAGATAGAGTTTGATGCAAGGTACCAAAACTCTGATCAAGATACTGAAGAATTGGCAACGCGGATAAGTCTGATTGTAATAGGTTGTAGTTATAATTCACCGTTTTGGGTGTCGTGGTGTCAGAACTTTCAAATTAGTACGATATACATGAGGCTCCAAAAATAAAGTTTCATTTATAATGCCATGAAGTCTTTGATGCCCGCATGTAACGTTGGTATATATCTTTGTTCCCTATAGGGCTATTTTTGATTCCCCTGATTTTACAATCGAAACAAAGAAAGGCGTGATTATCTTCAACACCCGAGTATGGCGCAATAGGGACTATGTTTCGTACCATCCTGAGTCATTTAACGGTCGACACCCCCGCAAAAAATGTTAAATGTAGAATAGTATTGATCCAAAACCATGTCGTGGTATCTTTTTGGGCAATTGCGTCCTGGACGCTCCTTCCTCGACTCATCTTTCCCTTCCAATTCTTATATCTTTGACTTTCCCATAGGTTCGTTCCAGTATAGTCTGGAAGATATCGATCCATTTCTTCAGTCATCAAATCATCTTTTTCGATCTCACCTCCTCTTCCTATACAGTCCCCTAAAATTGACCAGACCTAAAATTTCAATACTTCCATACATCATGGCCGTTGTTACATTTCCTACTCTACCTTTCAACAATCTTGAACGCCACGAAATTTCCAATACACTCGAATCTTCAACTGAACTGAAGTATCCTGTTTCAAGCAGCAACAATGATAGCTTGAATGAAGATAGATCCTTGGTGGTCAGTCCATACGACGAAAAACCTCATCTACTAGATCTCGATACCTTGAATACACCAAATCAATTGCTTGCAAGAGCGCTTGTTGGATTGAAGTGTCTGAGAGAAGATTATGCAACTGCGCCATACATTGAGACTTTCAATGTATGTTCCCCAATATCCTGACTCAAGTCTTGAAAGTTCAGGTTCACTAACCAAACTTGCTTTAGTGGCAAGAAGTCATAGATTCTCTTCGAGAGCTGGCGAAAGCCTCCAATTACACCTGGAAAGAGGAATTTTTTTACATTGTTGTTTTCAGATCTCAAGTCCCACCGGAAACTGTCGCTCATTACTCTGATCTTGGTGCCCTTGACAAAGCTGCCCACGCCGAGGCGACCGAAAGTGGAGGATTTCTCAAGTAGGATAAGAAATCCCATGTACGCAGTAGATAAACTGACAGTCTGTAGGTACTGGTTCGGAGTACCTGACAAGAACGGACGAAATCTTGCAACTTGCGTTTGGCGTAATTCACGAGATGCTAAAATTGGTAGCGTGGGTCCACACCATCGAGTTGCAGCCAACGCAGCCAGGCATATGTATACGGAATGGAAAAGTAAGCTCAATCCTATTACTGTTGTTCATGTTGCAGATGCTGATTAAATCTTGTAGTCGAACGATTAAGGCTCCTAGTGAAGGACGATATCAAAGGATGGGAGATTGAACAATGGGTCGACTAAAAATGATATATCCTATCTGAAGTAGTCCGATACCAAGTTCCTTCCAGGTCGATTGGATGAATATAGGAATTGAATTTGACGGCGTAGAAGGAGTTACCCATGATTTTATAGACTACCTAGAAGTTTGCTTGTTTTTATGATACCACAATAGAATAGACATAATTAAGAGACGAAAATCGTTCAAGATTACCTGAAACTCTCATATTTTCAGCATTCCGTGTTATAATTGCAATCTGTATTAATTGCAGGTATTCGGGGGCCTCGAGACTGTATCCGCTATGTTGGAATAGAAGTTGAACATATCATTGATGAACAAAAACAATATTGTGTTGTGTTGAAAGAAGAAGATTCGCGCGGGGTTAAAGATTCCCGTCATCGCTAGTGTAAAAAAAACGCCAAGGCTTCGCACACAAATGAATAGAATCCATCCTCAAAAAATAACCCACCTTTTTGCGACAACGACTACTGGACGCGGAACTCTTCGAATTTGCGCCAGATCCTATCGAAACATTGCCAATGTCGATGCAAACAACGTCGGATGGTACACGAGTGCAAACATGGGAAATTTCATCAACACTAGCCTGATCGAAAACCAATTCTTCTATCAAAAGGAACCAAATGAGAGAACTGTCGCGCTTGTTCACGATGTCAGCAGAAGTTCCCAAGGTGCTTTGAGTCTACGTGCTTTCAGACTCTCCCCAACCTTCATGGCCGCGTACAAGGAGGGTAAATTCACCACTGAGAAGTAGGTTCATAAGATATGCCATTACAACGCCAATACTGACAAGACGATAGCATGCAAAAGTCGAAGCTCACATACAAAGACATCTTGGTCGAATTACCTATCATCGTCCACAACTCCCATCTCTTGACCTCTTTCTTGCACCAAATGCCAGCCGAATTACCAAAGAAGGATCTTGAATTCCCCGCAAGTTTCGCAGACCTCAACCGAAACACACCCCCAACTCCTCTTTATCCTAACATGGAATCCTTGGACTTATCCATTGATCCTTACTTGGAGCGAACCTGTGATATGCTTTTGGATAGCATAGAAACTCATTACACTGAGCTCAACAACTTCCAATACTTCCAAAGACAATTGACCCGTGAGCAAGCCAAGGTCACAGCATGGAAGGCAAAGCGTACAGCGGAGAATGCTACTAGAGCTACACAGAAACTCGCACCTCTACCTGAGGATGAGTGGGAAAGACTCTTCAAACTCCCAACAGAACCAAGCAGATTGGAGGGTATGTTGAACGCACGACAAGTTGAGCAATATTCAAGACAGGTGGATGGATTCACTGCTAGCATCACCGGAAAGATGTTTGCAGTAAAGAGCAACCTCTTACCAGAACAAAACTAAGAAGAAACGTATGTAATGCAGCTGGTAGTAGGGACATTAAGGTTGCTAGCTAGGGCACTTATGAGGGATTTCTTGCATGGGCATGGCGTTCAGAGGGATATGTCAATATGTGGGATCATATTCATGATCAAAAAAGGAACGATAGACAACACCTTGAGAACTCTTTTTTTCTTATGGATGTATAGATATCTCGTATATTCCTCCAAAAATGCACGGACTTTTGATATTGTCCACCCACCAACGTGCAACTCAACCCCACTTACAGGCTTTTACTATTTGCTATCAGTGATACCCACATGTCTAATTTAAATTCCATGTTGAAGTTGACCCTGAATTTTGTACTTAGTTATCACTTCACTTCACTTTGCTCACATCGTTCACCTCACTGAACAATCATATATATGAGATGTGAGGAGTAGCTACCTACCTTTGGGTTTGACAAGCGAAGGATTTCCATCTGCTTGTCGACTACGTACGGAGTATATATATTTCATAGAGTGTTGGCCGACTACCGAAGCGACGGTGGTCGGCTAGATCCTCTAATTACCTAGGTAGCTGGAGCCAGAAGATCTAGCCAGCAAAGTATAAGGGTCATTCACTTATTGAAGAGAATCTACTCTTTTTTTCATTATCAATGTAGGTATTCAATACTATAGATTATTGTATATTACATACGAGTACAGTACAGCTACATTTGAACAACTCATGTAAATCCAATAGTATTTCTACAACAATGCAAGTCTGAACCACCGAACAGTGATATCCAATGTCTATCTCTTTGTCAAACGTTTCCTATTGTTGGGTTTTGGTACTCAGGGATTATGTATCTAACCTCATTGGGTTTAGCGCAGAATTTTCCTTCTTCTCACCCCTCCATCACTAGTTGAAGCGTCGGCCCCCGAAGTTTTTCTGTTTATCCTCCCATTTCATCTCTTCTTCTTCTCTACCTCGCCTCTTCTTTTTAGCTCCACCCTTAAAAACAAATGTAAGTATTAAAAGGCATCTCTATCCCAATCTTCGCACTCATTCTTCTACACTCGGAATCTTTGAATTGACTCTCATCTTTCAGTATCTATCTCACTCAATATCATCTTTCCCTCACCAAAAATGTCTGCCCCAGCATCCAAGTTCAAGGTAAATAAAGCTCTCACTATGAATTGCTAATTCCCATATGCTAATTTGAATACTTATATAGGTCGCTGACCTCAGTCTTGCTGCCTTCGGTCGCAAGGAAATCGAGCTCGCTGAGAATGAGATGCCAGGTTTGATGGCCACTCGTGAGAAGTACGCTGCCGATCAACCTTTGAAGGGTGCCCGTATTGCTGGATGTGTATGTATTCTCTTGCTCTTTCAATCTGAATCGAAGACTAACGAAGCTATCATAGTTACACATGACCATCCAAACTGCTGTCTTGATTGAGACCCTCACATTCCTCGGAGCTGAGGTTACCTGGTCATCATGCAACATTTTCTCCACCCAAGACCATGCCGCTGCTGCTATTGCTGCCGCCGGTGTCCCAGTCTTTGCCTGGAAGGGTGAGACCGAGGAGGAATACAACTGGTGTTTGGAACAACAACTCGTTTCCTTCAAGGATGGCAAGAGCTTGAACTTGATCCTAGATGACGGTGGAGATCTTACTCAACTCGTGCACAACAAATACCCAGAGATGTTGAAGGACTGCTATGGCGTTTCTGAGGAGACCACCACTGGTGTTCACCACTTGTACAAGATGTTGAAGAACAAGGGTCTCCTTGTCCCAGCTATCAACGTTAACGACTCCGTCACCAAGTCAAAGTTCGACAACTTGTACGGATGCCGTGAGTCTTTGGTCGATGGTATCAAGCGTGCCACCGATGTCATGATTGCTGGTAAGGTTGCCGTTGTCGCCGGTTTCGGTGATGTCGGAAAGGGTTGTGCTATGGCTCTCCACGGAATGGGTGCCCGTGTCATTGTCACTGAGATTGATCCTATCAACGCTCTCCAAGCTGCCGTTTCCGGATACCAAGTCATGCCAATGGAGAAGGCCGCTTCCCAAGGTCAAATCTTCGTTACCACAACTGGATGCAGAGACATCTTGACTGGTGAGCACTTCGAGGCCATGCCAAACGACGCTATCGTCTGCAACATTGGTCACTTCGATATTGAGATTGACGTTGCCTGGTTGAAGGCAAACGCTGCCAGCGTTCAAAACATCAAGCCCCAAGTCGACAGATACCTCATGAAGAACGGTCGTCACATCATCCTCCTTGCTGAGGGTCGTCTCGTTAACTTGGGATGTGCTACCGGTCACTCTTCCTTCGTCATGTCCTGCTCCTTCACCAACCAAGTCCTTGCTCAAATCATGTTGTTCAAGTGCGAGGATGAGGCTTTCGGTCAAAAGTATGTCGAGTTCGGCAAGACCCAAAAGCTCGAGGTTGGTGTCTACGTTCTCCCAAAGATCTTGGACGAGACCGTTGCCAAGCTCCATTTGGCACACGTCAACGCCGAGTTGTCCAAATTGACCCCAGTTCAAGCTGAGTACCTTGGACTTGAGGTTGAGGGACCATTCAAGGCTGAGATCTACAGATACTAGATTATGTTTATATGGGTTTTCATTTTTTTTGTTTACAGGCGAGCTGTGGGTAAATCTTTCAACATGAGTAATGATTGCAATGATACCGGGGAAAAGCATTTTGACCTTCAACGGCATATAAAGGGGATATACAAGGGAAAAGTTTCAACATAAAGGGTTTATGGATGAATTTTATAAAGCGGGCGTTACTTGGCTCTTCAACCATGGTCAAGTAGTAGAGGTCGGCCTTTTGCCTTGACATTAGAGCATATTTGTGCTTGGGTAGAATATACATTGTATGTTCACAGTGGATATGTTTCGTTCATGATTTTGATTTTGATTGTGATTGTGATTGTGATTGTACACAAGTGATTTTGAATTTCTCTGAATATTAAGTAGTCTTGATCTCTCTAATAATCCTCAGCTGTGATTAAAGCTATCCATGAAAATAGGGTTCCGGATCTCCTATTCGGTTCCTACTTTGACAGAAGAGAAAACACAGCGCGTATGAAGAGATTGGCTATATGGGACAAGAAGAATGGAAACGTGGCCGTACAATATTGCTAGCTCAGTTGCTGGGTGGATCATTGTTAACATCTAATGCCCTGTGTAGGTATGTCATGTACATACAACTATATGTATCTGTCTATATATGTATGTATGTATCTATAGTGCCAATCACGACTCGGGAACATTGTTATAGTGGGCTTACTTGGAGGTTAGTTGTGGTTGTAGTTGTGTAGGATATTCAAGTCAATTGGACTGGTAGATACTAACTACCTAGGTAGACAATCGTATATTTGACGTTTGGTTTTTGGGGGTACTACCAAGTGAAATGTGATATGAAAGTTTGATATATTGAAGACTGAGTGGATTGATTGTTTGATTTGCTGTATATACGATTCTGGATAGTGAGGATGTAATTTGGCTGGAGTTGAAAAGTTGAGAAGTAGAAGATGAAGAATGGGAAATAATCAAGTGGTTATATATATACCTAGGTACTGATGCATGCGTGATACGATATGATACGATACAATGTGATGTAATGAGAAGATTATCTATAAGTGCCGACTCGAGAGTCATAAATACTTTCTTCCTTATTCCTTCCCGTTTCCCAGTATCCCTTCCCATTCCCCATTCCCCATTCTCAGTTCCCAGGTTGCTAGGGCCCAATAATGTGATGTGTTCTATTATACATAACTACCTAAGTCCATCCGTATCCATATACAGACCCATCCCATTCAGCGCGCCGATGCATCTCGTATGAGTAGTTCTAGCTCCAGCATATTATATGATCTTATCCTTCACTCCGATTGATGTATATATCCATCCATGCTCCCGCTCCCGCATTACAGATTCCAATTGCAATATCATGTTGCGCCATGTTATTAATCTTCGCCATTTATCAATCAATATTCGTATCATATAATTCCTTCTTCCCATTTCCGTAATTAAAATCCTCCTCCTCTCCCTCTCTCCAAACTAAGATCAATCGACCATAGAGAGTCCCATATCATTGATCTTCTAAGCTTGTTTGGTGATGCACTTCGCTCCTCTCCTATTTCCTCCATGGCTCCATTTTCCATGCTGGAATGTCCCATCGAATACTCTCTTGCAAGAGTACTCCCAGCTACACTCCCAGTTGTTCCAAAGCCTGTGCCCAAAGCTGCAGGATACCCATGACCACTGTGAACATTCTAGAACACCATCGCACTATCAGCGTATGTCCTGCTACAAGCTTCGATCTGCAAATAGAAAGAGTATAACACAATATGCAATACAATGGGCGAACGTTTACAATTCTCGACGCAAAGAAGTCTGAAAGTAATACAAGACAGGTAGACGACAGGATCAAGATAGAGATAAAGATCAAGGACCCAAGAGATTATCCAAAGGATTTCGAACCTCATTGTTTACTGCTTCAGGAGTAGCAGAAGCTGCAGCTACATTGGTGCTCCCATCACCATTCTTTACAACTGCGGAATCCATCGTATCCCCGATTGCTTCGTTTCTCAAACCACTAACTGAAGCCGTCGAGCCTGTTTTCCTCAACGGCGATGCGGCAATCTGAATAGCTTTTTTGGAGTTACTACTGCTTCTCCTACTATCCAGACTCTTCGCCAGGGTTTTATTAAGCCCCTCAGCACCCGTACTCGATGATTTCTTAGGGCGACGAATCGTAGCTGTTGCATCTATATTTGCGCTAGCGACTGTGCTTTTGGCGAGACCAGGTGTAGATGGAGCACCTGGCTTCTCCTCCGAGGCATCAATGAGATACCAACGAAGACCATCGGAAAGATCGAATGGGTTATCGTCATCGAAGGAGTCGCCTGTGCTTGCGAAGGAACGACCATCCGTGATGGATTTGGAAAGATCAACTACTCTGTCCTGGATTTTATGGATTCGAGCTAATAACCAATCGCGAGAGCGGAGCTTATGAGAATCTTGTTCTCGAAGGAAGTAATGAGGAGCGCCAACGTTGAATGCTGCCCATGCACCGGTGGATTGATTTCTAGTTGGCAGAAATAAGGCTAGATCACCTTCTTTGAAATTCTTGAAAGCAATCTTCTCATGGGCTTCCTTTTGAGCTCTGTGGGACTTTTCCCGGTAAGCACGAGCATCTTTTGAATATTTCTTGGCTGTATATTCCATGTCTCTGACTCGCTTTGCAATGACCTCACAAAAGTTATCGATATCGAAGCTACCGATTGAATTGATGTAAGCGTCATACTTCTCACTTTCTGTCTCAGGATCGTCATTGTGCATCCAATACAAAAGGTCAAGGTCTCCACTATCGACCATGGCTTTCATTGTCGTCGAACCTGTCATGCTTCGCCTGAGCTTATTTCCAGCATCTGAGGAATCATTCCCGTTGATCATGCTACGATCAGGTTTTGGTAATTTCTGAATGATCATTGAGCCATTGTCTTTGGTGACCGAATAACTCAAACGCTCAAGTAGTCGGACAAGCTTATCGTTTTGAGAATACACTCGTTGTGTAAGGTCTTTTGCACGCGAAGTGCGTGAATCGAATCTGTCGTTCAATCTCTCAACTCTTTCTTGTGCAAATTGGTGCTTTTCTTGATACGATCTTATCTCTTCCTCGAGACTTCCGATACGAGAAAGTTGTCTAGCAAGATCCTCCGACAGAGATGTGACTTTGCGTTCCTCCTCTTCTAGACGATTACGTAGAGCCTCAGATCCTGTTTCGCCATCTGCCATCTTGGTTCTTATGGAGCTTAATTGAAGGCGCTCGTCAGTGAGCTCGGCCTCCAGAGCAGAGTACTTAGCTCTCTCGGATGCTAATTCTTCGCGCAAGGATTGCGATTCCTTCTCTTCGGTAGCAAACTTTTCCTTGTAATCCGCAAGTTCGGATCTCAGCTCCGAAATCGTCGTTTCTGCATCATCCCGCTGCGATTTTGCAAGGTTGTAATCGCGCTTCGTATTTTCAAGCTCGGATATCAAGCTCAGTGATTTGTTAGTCAACGACCCCGAGAGGGCTGTGAACTCCTGTGGCATCCTCAACTTGGGTGATAACTGCAAATGGATGTCTTGCAAAGTCTTCAGCTGATCTTCAGCAGCCGATTCTGCCTGGATCGTGCGGGATAATAGTTCCTTCTTCTCTTCTCTGAGAACCTGCATTTGCCTTTCCAAGGTCTCATTGGTCTCCCTCTGCAATTTTGCATCGTTTCTCAAGAAGTCAACCTGACCTTGAGCTTTTTGGGCCTCCGCGGCACTATCCTTTCGTAATTGATCCAGTTCATCTTGTAAGAGACGAACACGATCATCAACATCGGACTTCTCGTTCTCTCTGGAGCCGAGATATCTATCCATCTCGTCCTCCAGCTCTTCTAGTTTTGCCTTATAACGCTTGATGTCATCATTCAAAGCTTTGCGCTCGTCAATGAAGTCTTGTTGCTGTGCTTTGAAGTTCTCCGAAAGGTCGTGTTTCATGGAATTCATTTCTTCAAGTTGAGACTTCAACTCGTTCGCTGAGGTATTCTGGGCAGCAACCTCTTTCTCCAAGCCTGAAGCGCGTTCACGTTCAGTAATCAACTCCGCCTCCAAAGAAAGTAGCTTCTGCTGGAAGGCTGCTTCTTCCTCGCCTCGATTCGCAGAAAAGCGTCGGGATGATATCGAAGACCGTCGAGAGTCGTCATTCGGGCGTGATGGTATGGGGTTTTCCACACTGTGAACATCAGGGCTAGGAGTATTGGGTACTGAAAACACGTTTCCGATTGAAGTCCTGTTGGCTTGAGTTTGCCGATGCAATAGATCCTCAAGCCTTCGAATTCGACTTTCAGCGGTTCTCAATTTGTTCTCAAGCCTTGACTTCTCATCTTGCATACTTTTCAAGGCTTCGTCGTCCCCACGCATTAATAGAGCGCTTTTGCCAAGAGCTGATTCGTGAATACTCCCCGCCTTAAATGCATTTGCCCTCTTACTTTGCTGTCTTGTTGGGTTGTTGAGGTCCGAAATGATTCTCGAAATGTCGCTAAGCATCGGTGATTGAATATTTTCAGCCCTAAGGATTGCCAAAATGTCTTCTAAATCCCGCCGAGAAGCTTGAGGCCAATCGTCCTCTTCCCCGTGCAAGACGACTTCCAGAGCCATGACCTGCGTCTCAGGCTTTTCATCCCACAAAGTAGCTCCGACGTTCTTCTGCCACTTTCGTCGTCGCCTCGTTTCTTCTTCTTGGAAATTCGCCATTTCATTAGCCAAAGTCGAGGAATCTGATCTTACTTTCTCGTCCCATTCACTGCGCCTGACTGCTTCGGCCAAGAATGAAACAAAAGTGACCGGTAATGTGTCCAGCATTGAAATCAAATGCAAGGCGTTGACCCCATCACCATCCAATTCCAGGGCAGCAAATCGACTGTTGACTTCTGCAAGCATCGTTGTTAAGCTGGCGATGTCATACATGAACTCTAAGGATGATATTGCGGAGGAATTTCGCAACTTCGTAACGGTCTGCATGATTTCCTCCATCTCGATGGCCCTTTTAGATAGCGAGGGTAAAAACTTATCAGTGTGGAGAAGCGCCGATTTTGAAGCTTGTGAAATATTTTTCGGTGTGTTCGTAAAGCCAAGAATGGCTTCACAGTCAGTATTGACCTTTCTAAATATTGCCTCAATGTCCTCCAGTAAAGCAATAGGTTCCTGAGATTGTGGAATAGCCGCTCGCGCAGGACTTTTCTCGACCTTTTCAATTAGATGGTCAATCCTTCGCATGACCTCGTCCACTTCCTGTCCGGCTTCTACACTACTACGCTCGAGATTTTTCGAAATTTTGCCCAACAGCTTTCCAGACCTTTTGACTTCTTCCGCATCAACCAAGTCCGCTAAGGTGATTTGGCGCTTGGCCTTCGACAAGTCACGGCCTGTGATAAAATTAATCACGTCTGCAGTCGCAGGTAGCGACTTTAATCGAGCCATTGATATTTCCCAATCCCCGCCAGCGACGTTGAGTTTCTGCATTTCTTCGACGTAGTTTTGAACTTCGGCATTCTTTTGGTCCAGCACCCTGACATGCTTCTCCAGGTTCAAAACAGCGGTATCCACACACCGAGTAATCACCTCCGTTTCGATGTACCTTTGCTGCGCTTGATCCGACATGGAAGCACAATCTTCCACTACTTTTGCAGCCCATGCCCGTCTTTCGACGAATAAGTCTTGCCATGCTTGTAGGTCCTTCTCGTTTGTGATCGAATCTGGGGGTCGAGAAACAGTATATTTGCGCGGTAGGGGGATTTCAGAGATCAATGATTTCGCAGATGCTATAGAAGATTGCTGAATGATGCGCCTGTCATATACGAATATTTCTTGCTGTACCAAGATTAGCAATTGTAGGGCTGGGAAATGTCGGCGTGGGTACCTCTGAAGAAAGCCCTTGAAATCGCACTGCTTTGGCTGCTGCGGTAAGAGATATGTGATCGCTGGCGGCAATAGGTGTATACTTGGCCACCCACAACTTAAAATCGTCTAGACTTGAGTGCTATCAGCATTTATGATCGGGGTAGACATGACGTCGCAGACTTACGAGGTAAAGGATCCAGGGTCTACCTGAAGATGTTGGCCCGTGTGGGCAATGTATACGTGAAGTTCCATAATTGTATATGCATTTCACAGTTACAGCGAGTTGCCAAATTAGTTTTCCTCTTATGGGATGTAGAAGATGTCTTGTCGCATGTTGAAGATGCGAAGATCACAAGGCTAATTCGAGACCGCCGTAACTTAGCTTAAGCTTCAGGTTCGGCCGCCTTATCTCGGCAAGCCACACTCCAATCCCTTAAAGCTAATGAATGACTGGAAACGCCTCCGGCATATATAATATTTTGCAAAGATTTGAAAGGAATTCGAGTTTGAGATGGGGAGATATGATACTTTTGCATTTACCTTAATATATTGATTGATCCATTCCACATGGCATTTTCAAAAGTATGTGCTTTCGCGGTTTAACCTTATCTGGTACACGGTGTGCCACACTAAATGTGGCTGACCTCTGTCGAACCAATCTCAATCTGAAGATACCTGAGTATGGGGTTTTCATGGCATGATGAGAGACGCGTTCTCCACGAACAACAGATTGTGGACTTTGGAATTTTCTTGTAGCTTATGACTCGTAGGCAGATTTACAAATCAAGATGTCGCATCAAGAAAGTGCCGAAAGTATGGATGGAGTTGAAATGACCGGACCAGCCAACGACATACCTCCGTTGAGCGATCAAGAGAAACGCATTCTGGAAGTGTACGATAAATTGGAAGAACTTCAAGTCGAAATAGCTCTCTTGAAAGCTCAGGGTGTTATCTCTTCAGAGGGTTCGTCTCTATATATATCACTTTGAAAGCACGTGTCCTGACAATTTTTTAGAGCAAGAAGATGTTACCGATGAAGTTATCCAGAAGGCAGAGAAAAACCTCCTTGAGTCAAAAGCCAATTATTCATTGCGGTCGAAAATCATTGAGAATGTGATTATTGCCAATCCTATATTGAAGGCAGTTCATGCTGGTAGTAATGCTTCGGTCATAGAACAGTAAGATACTCCCTCCAAACTCCTTTTTGCATTCTTGACACAAGAGTAGGGACCTCCTACCACTCATCGAAAAACGTGATGCTATGTCTGAAAATCTGGCTCAGATATCTAGCAAAATTCAATCGTCAAGAGAAGAGTTGATGAGAGAGTCCAATGAAAACATTATTACAGGGAGAAAGAACATCGAATTGGCTACAGAAATGTTGGCTCTAGCAGAAGAGGCGAATAGTCAGGGGAAGGAAAACATACAGGATCCAGATATTCGTGCACAGTTGGATGAATTGGAAGGAGCGATGAAGAATAGTAGACAGAGATGGAGGATCATGAAGAATACTGCTAGTGCTGTGATAGTGGGTAGTGGTATTGATTGGGCCAGAGATCCCAAGTTATTGGAAATTGTCCTTGATGACGATGGGGATCAATAATGAGGTATTGCTTAGAAATTGTTATCTAGCATCGATCATGACAGGCATGATAGGATGCTATAATTATGAATCTGAACCCCAATGGTAGCAAATTCCCGTTCCAAAATGCAAATTTTGTTCCCAGCTATCAGAAAGGCAGTCGAGGTAGTTTAGTGTCTATAGCTTCTACGCGCGTTCCAGAAAATTAATCGATCATCTAAACTTTCCATGTGTGATTTGTTCACGAAAGCTTGCAGGGTAGAATTTTGCTACAGTGAATTCTGTCTACTCGTGTAAAGCTCGTAGCATAAATAAACTCTGTACCTATATTTTGACGTTTTGTTATCGTTCGTATAGGTAGTAAATTGAGGCTCAAAGCATGTGAGAATGGACCCTTGTTCCTTCAAGATAAACATGCACTAGGTAGGATATCGACGGGGACTGTGGGTTAAAACTTAAAGCTCCTTATTAATTCGTGATAAGTGAATTCTAAATCATTCATAGTGTCTACATAGGAGCCTAGGTAGATAGATAGGTGTGGTCAAATCTAACGACCAATAAGCGATAGAATTAGAGAAACAAGGTTACCTTGCACCACCGACTCAAAGGACACTTGAATGGTTACCTGTGATATGCCTAGTGCCGTAGATAGCTGCGTGATGCGCTCAAAGTTTGTGGAGGTCAATGTAATGTGTGGTTGTGTACCTCTTGTCCAAGTCCCATGTACACATACCATACTATTCGAAGGGTTGTGTAGCATCCCTAGACATGTTAATGTGGAAGAGGAGTTCGGCTTCTAGACCTTCCAGGGAATATGCATGGCAGACATACCTCCCACTGTTGAGACTTACATCTAAGGGGTGCATAGAACGCATGGAATGCCTAGAATTATCCTATAGAAAGCCCTCCTTCTCAAAATAGCAGCTATTAGGTTCATCATCCAATATATTTCTAGAAATGTATGAGTAGTCAGTCGTACGAGCTTGATCATCGCTCTGCTCCTTGATACACCCGAGACACCTTATACAGAAGATCGAGGTTACCACCAATACGGGTAGAGAATGGATTTCAGATTCATTTCTCCGATGTACAAGCTTCACTTCGGTCCAGCCTGCAACGCGAAAGCGTAGTACGAATGACGGTATGATATAATAGTTAATAAATGGGAGACAAATCGTAATATACTTGTCCACCTCTTTTGCCCCCTGATGAGTACCTGGGTTTTCCTTTTTAAAGCAAGCATTGATCAGAGTAACCAATAGGAGAACTATTAAGCATTGATTTTGGATCCAAAACGCTAGCACCAAGCTTCGCTACGAAAAGTTACATGTTACAGAGGCAAAGCCAGAGCCAAACGAATTTCATCCCTTTAATTAAGCCAGGGAAAAGGAAGAAGCAAGAAATCAGCGGTGCGGAAAAGCCTGAATGCTTCCCCCCCCTTTATAAATGTAGAAAACTTGTTTGTACTGTATCTGTATTTGTTGGACACACAACCACCCTTTTCTCAATTCAATTCTTTTGGAGAATCAGTGAGAACCAGTGAACGAACGTCTCGGCTTTCGTCTATCATCTATATCAAAGAGTAAATCACAAGAGAGGGGGTAGAAGCAAAAGTGAATTCATCGAGAACAACACACCAAGCGGCGGCACGGAACTTTTGACAACTAGCAAACGCGACTTCCTTACACTTTAATTCTTGTTCTCCAGGATCAAGACAACACTATTCCGTTTCACCAATATTGTTCCCTTAGATCCATTACAATACAATTAAGATGGATCCCAACAGCAGTAATGCCGGTAATAATAATCCCAATGGTAATCCGATGAACAACCGCCTTCACTTGAACTTCGGAAACGACAGATTCGCGCCAAACGATCGTGCATACCCGACGACCCCATCAACTTTCCCTAATCCAATATTTCCAGGCGGAGGTCAAGGTCAAGCTCAGCAAGCACAACAACAGCAGCAGCAACAGCAGGCTCAACAAGGCGCACAGCAAGCATACAATCAAGGCTTCGCGCCCCCCGCAGGATACTTCATGAATAACCAATACCCCCCTTCCTCGGGCTATCCGCAGCAACAAGCACCTGCTGGATATCAACAACAGCAGCAGCAGCAGCAACCCTACCAGCAAAGATCTGTTAATCTACAAAATGACGCTACGAATGGTCTGGCTCATCAGTTCTCCCATCAAAACTTAGGTGGGGGCAGAGGTTCGCCATATGGCAATCGTCAAGGTCAAGCATCGCCAGGGCAAAGACCAAGAACTGCTGGAGCACCAGGTCAGCAGCCAGGTTACTCAAACTACTTGAACCCTATGCCGACTCAAGCTTCACAACAAGTTCGTCCAGAATTTCAGGCAGCTCCAGAAAGAAATCCTGATCGATACGGCAATTTGACACAAAACAATCAAAAGAAATGCTCGCAACTAGCTGCAGACTTTTTCAAAGATAGTGTCAAGAGGGCCAGAGATCGAAATGTTAGGTGAGATATTCCAAAAAGATTGATGTTGATACTTGTGCTAAATGACTATCTCTACAATAGACAAAGCGAAATGGAGCAACGTCTCTCTGATCCCAACCAATCCCAATCTCGCCGAGAACAAACATGGTCGAATGCAGGCAAACAAGAGGGCAAGTATCTACGATTTTTACGAACCAGGGACAGACCTGATAATTACAACACACTGAAGATCATTGGAAAAGGAGCCTTCGGAGAGGTCAAGTTAGTGCAAAAGAAGCAAGATGGCAAAGTTTATGCTATGAAATCTTTGATTAAAACTGAGATGTTCAAGAAGGATCAATTGGCACATGTTCGTGCTGAAAGAGATATCTTGGCCGAGTCGGACAGTCCTTGGGTTGTTAAGCTTTTCACAACATTTCAGGATCAAGATTTCCTTTATATGTTGATGGAGTTTTTGCCAGGAGGAGATCTGATGACTATGCTTATCAAATACGAGATCTTCTCTGAAGATATTACGAGATTTTATATTGCGGAAATTGTTTTGGCTATTGAAGCTGTACACAAGCTCGGCTTCATTCATCGGTAAGTTGATTGATAATAGGAGGGGATCGCTTCGACCCCTTTTATTTTTTCAGTTTCACATACTAATTGAGATAGTGATATCAAACCAGACAATATTTTGCTTGACAGAGGTGGGCATGTTAAATTGACTGATTTTGGTCTATCCACTGGTTTCCATAAACTGCACGATAACTCTTATTATCAACAATTATTGCAAGGAAAATCGAGCAAGCCGAGAAACAACAGACAGTCAGTCAATCTCGACGAAATCAACCTCACAGTCAGCAATCGAAGCGTTATCAATGACTGGAGAAAGTCTCGAAGAGTCATGGCTTACTCGACTGTTGGTACACCTGATTACATTGCTCCAGAAATTTTCAGTGGACATGGTTATTCCTATGATTGCGATTGGTGGAGTCTTGGTACGATCATGTTCGAATGTCAAGTCGGATGGCCTCCTTTCTGTGCCGAAGATGCCCATGACACATATCGAAAGATTGTCGCCTGGCGCACGAATCTCTACTTCCCTGAGGATGTTCAACTGGGACCTGAAGCCGAAAATCTCATTCGAAGGTATGAACACGTTGACTGCTCTCTCTTGAGTTACTAATCTAACTTTGTGTGCACTAGTCTTGTTTGTAATTCAGAGAATCGACTCGGACGAGTATCAGCAGACGAAATCAAGAGCCACAAATTTTTCCGTGGTGTTGAATTCGATACTCTGCGTCGTATTCGTGCTCCATTTGAGCCCAAGCTGGCTTCCAATGTTGATACCACATACTTCCCAACTGACGAGATTGACCAAACTGATAACGCAACCCATCTCAAGCAAGCTCAAGCTGCAGCTGCCCATAGTGGTGCTCCTCGAGAGGAAGTACCAGAGATGAGTTTGCCATTCATTGGATACACATTTAAGAGATTCGAGTCTAACTACAGATAATCGTGGTCCATCTCTCCACTATTCGATTGGGCGGATCCGCCATGGAGCTGACCAGCTACCACACAGGTCAAAGCATGAATATCTGTTATTCTACCAAGTTTTCACCTGGAGTGAAGTATTTCTATTTCCTAGTTGTCAATACATGGCCTTTTAAAAGTCAATCTATCCAGATACCATTGATTGCATGTTCTGCAAGATTACAATTAGACGTCTGACATCTAGCGGTCTGTTTCTTTTTCCTGATTTTATTTCGACTGGATGCACACATGAGCGAAACAGCCTGGTTCTAGACTTCCAGCATAGGGGTGGGTTTTAAGGTTGGGAAGAACTTTTTAAATGTGATCATAGTGGGAAATATTAGGTTAAAATCGATGTACCTGGGTATACCTTGGGAAACATCTACACTTTCAATCAAAAAATGAAATAATATCAACTACTTGATTACACCGTCCCTGGTGATGTTCCTGTGATATCATATTATAGTACAATTTAGCCATTACTAACTCCCACGAACTCCATGCAATAATGTCCTCTCATTTTATCTGACTGGAGCCAAGCCCGGCACGCCACTGTATCTCTCCTCTCTCTCCGTTTTGAACATGATCTGGACCCAAAATTCTTTCAAATCAGAATCCCACCAAGTCCAATACCTTTCATTCGAGCGGTCAATCTCTCTTGCCTGCAACTTAAACCCGCAAGTCTCATAAGGTTCCGCCGCTACCAGCATATACTGAAAATCCTTATCAGGGTCCTCCACCTTCTGCTCGAAAGCACTCATAAACCGGACCCGCGGTTGCACATCTGACACTATTTCGGGATACTGCAACTGAAATAACAATCCCTGCTGTCTTGTAACCGGATCCCGCGTCTTCGTGATCTTATACCCAGGCCTTCCAATCTTCACCATATTCTTGCGAACACTGACTTGCGCTCCTACCATTCCGACAGGTAAACCGGTAATGGGGTCGATCCCCGACCGTCCTTCCTTTTCCTCGCGTGCAGCACGTCGTGCGAGATTCGTCTGATGCTTGCGACCCTGGGTATGCGCAAGATAGGAACCATCATTTTGATGCACGGTGAGACAGAGTCGACATTCGAAGGAGCCGACGTGGTTCTTGAAGAAGTAGGGGTCTTTGTCTAAATCGATAGTCTCGAGGGCGAGTTTGCGGAGACGCTCACGACGGTCGGCATTGGTTGCACTGGTGGAAGCGACACCACCACCGCCGAATTTACTACCGGCGCGGTTTTGGTAATCCATCTTGAATAGGTGATGAGGGTGGAGATAGGATTCAAGGCTGGTGAGCTTGAAGATTGATGAGAGATAGTAATCGTGTCAAAACTTCAAACTTTGATATTTGGGAGAATTAATCTAGTAGTCGCAGTCTCGGAATTGATATCGAATCAAGATCGCCGTGATGGAAAAAAAGCTTAAATGTGTTGTAGAGGTGTTGCAATGGGAAAGTGAATGTTGATGTCGCGAAAAAAAGTTCGGCTGTGGTTCAGCCTCTCTTTGCAAGGCTGCAACTTTATTTCCAAACGAACACAATCCATGAATGAACCCCTTTCACAATGTCACAAAATCACAACTATCGCGTGGGTCAACGGGTATCATTTCAAGGACAGTTATGTACAATCCGATACATTGGAGAGGTCAAGGATACAGAGAAGGAATGGCTTGGAGTTGAGTGGGACGACCCTTCGCGGGGTAAGAATGACGGGAAAGGGTACTTCAAATGTCAGTAGTTGTCATGAGAGATATCTTTAGGATTGGCTCCTAATATATACATAGGTTTGAGTAATGCACCAACTCCAGCAAGTTTTATACGTCCTACCAGAAAACCAGATCCCGAGCAGAGCTTTGTCGAAGCGGTATTTCATAAATACGCTTCTGGAGATGGCCTAAATCCCGACAAGCAGATTGTTATATCGGGAAAAGTAGCAGAGGAGATTGGATTCGACAAGATTGCAGAGCAGCAATCTCAGGTGCATGAACTCAAAATTGTTCTGGTTGATGGTCAGCGCATCAATAGAGCTCATACTAGACTTCAAGATGCCTCGCCAACACAAGTGGTGGCTAAAACAGCGACTAATCTTACAGTTGGGGAAGCATGCCCAAGTATTGTTGAACTTGATTTGAGCAGAAATCTGTTTGTATCTTTAGATGAGATAGAAAACATTTGTTCGCAGTTGAAGAATTTGAAGACTCTTAGACTAAAGTAAGCACTCCCAATATTGAGTTGGGCTTGACTAATATCATTATCGTAGTGGAAACCGACTACAGCTTGACACAAGCAGAATGTTAAATGCAATCATGTCAGGATCAAGTGAAGAAGTTTTCAACATGATCAAGGCTCTGGAGGTAGATTCAACATTACTTGATTGGAATGAGCTTTGCATACTCCTGCAAAGATTCACTTCCACGGTGTCTCTGACTGCATCCTCAAATGGCTTCAAAAGATTGAGTTCGCCCATCACGAGTCATTCTTTGGCCTCTTTGACTCTTGAGTATAATGACTTCACATCACTGGCGGATTTGGAGGTATTGACTCAACTCACATCCCTCGAATCTTTGCTTCTGAAAGGCAATAAAATACATACAACGGGAACGATGACACCAGGGGCCGTGAAGTCTTCCACTCCCTTAGTCTTCAATAATAAGTTATCATATATCGATCTATCTTCCAACAAAATCAACAGTTGGGCTTTTGTAGATGAACTCGTTGATATTTTCCCTGGCATGACGTCTTTACGAATATCCAAAAACCTTATATATCCGGAAACAAGCGCCGAATCGACAATGGGAAGTCTCAACGAGGAATTCATGTTGACACTAGCACGTCTTGGGAACCTTCAAAAATTAAACTTTAGTGGGATTACCCCTCAAGATCGGAATAACGCAGAATTGTTCTACCTTTCCGAGATAGGCAAGGAACTTGGCGCTGTAGATTCAGAGCAGGAATCTACAGTCCTCTCTAAACACAAACGATACAAGGAGTTGTGCGACCTTCATGGCTCCCCCGCAGTAGTGAGGAGAGAAAAGGCAGAGATCAATCCTGCGTTTTTGGAAGCACGTCTGATCAACTTTACATTCTACGTTCCTGCAAAATCTGAGATTGGTCAAAAGGAAATCGTACTGGTGAAAGAGATTCCTAAAGCATTCAGCATCTATCGAGTCAAGGGGATTGTTGGGAGATTATTAAATCGTAGGCCATTAAGTTTGAAATTGATTTGGGAAACAGGAGAATGGGATCCCGTGGCAGGGTATGAGGATATTGACGAGTATGATGACGATAACGCTGTAGACAATGCCAGAGAAGCTTTGGCTCCTGCTGGCGTGTCTGATCTGAATCGAAAACAACCCAAGAGAGAAGATTCTAGTATCGCAATTGACAAAGCTGTTTCGCAAACTCGCGGGCAAGTAGGGGTGTCAAAGGCAGGCAAATTCATGAGAAGAGAAGTGGAGTTGGAGGATACAACGAAAGATGTTGGTCTTTGTGTAGATGGCATGGAGGCTAGGGTTAGAGTGGAATTCAAAGATTCGAGGAAATTCCCTGGCAGGGAAGAGTGAATTGAGATGAGTATATCTTAGCATGCGTTTGATACCCGATGGCACAGATTAACACAGAATAGAGGTAGGGGATAACCCCGCCAAACTGCGGTATGCTTAATGAATGTTGTTTCCCCATTGCGTTGACAATCTGATTTGCGATTTTCACTTGAACATTCTTATGTTTTGAATCTCCCCAAGTGTATGGATGTTGGTACAAGCAAAGAGAGTTTGGGCGTTTCTATCGAACAAAGTTTGTCTGAACGGCATACACGAGAAGAGCGTTTTCGGATACTATGTTTTACAATTGATTGTATAGTACAATACATACTTTACAGGGCAAACGAGAGCAATCGCTCATAGTTGCTCGGTGTGAGACTCATTTTACCTAATCTTAAGTTGTTCATCAGCATTATATATCTATCTCTCATGCACCTTCAGCCTTTATCCTCCGTGCTACCCACCATACATCATACATACCCATTAATCAGACGAACAGTCTTTCAATAAACTACCGCAACCGATCGCAGGTAGACTAACATGTCTACTAAGACCAACAAAAGAGAAGCTCGGGACCGCACAGTTCAAGATCTGCCGGTCTTGACCCAAGGTCCTCGACCAGGCTACTTCATAGTCCGCAAGACGGGACAAGTCGTACCGCTAGTGGCGGTTGATGAACTACCACCAGGTGTGGATTTAGTAGGGGTACCGAGAAATTTAGATTTAGTGGAGACAGGCGGAATGTTGAACTTGGGATTGCAGGGAGGAGCACAACCTGGTGCTCCGGGTGGTGCAGGGTTTTATGGATTGGTTGGGTTGGAGGGGGATGAAGAGGGAGATGAGTATGGAGATGAAGATGGAGTGGTGGGAAGTAGTGGGTATGTATCCGTTGTCGAGTTAAGAGGGGGAAGGTTTGTGGTGATTGTGTGCTAATTATCGAAATCAGATCAGATACTGCAGTTTCTAGTCCTCTTGTACTACCCATCCGATCCTCCGCGTTGACCACAGCCACAAATACCAAAAATCTATCCACAAAATCACATTGCCCTCCAGGCTTGTCGACATCCATCCACGCTCCTTCGCGCAACGCCACATCGACATTAGAAACACAGCAACAAGGACAACAGCAAACATGTAGACATTGGTGTACACATAATAGGAGATGCAAGTGGGCAGAAAATTGTCGGTATAAACATGAGATGCCTAGAACAAAATTTGAACTTGGATTGATTGGATTGAGTGATTGGCCGAGTTGGTTTAAGGCGGAGAATTTGGGATTTTTTCCTGGGCATGGGAGGGGGGTTGATAGGGGAGTGGAGAGATTGGGGGATTTGGATGTGGGGGGTGGGATGGAGAGGAAAGAGAGGGAGAGAGGAAGTAGCAGAGTTGGGATTGAAATGGAGAGGGGATCTGGGATGGGAGTGTTGGAGGGCAAGAGGGTACTTGAAAGATTGAGGGAGATGGAGAAGCTGCTTAGGGCTAAGGTTGTTGGGGGAAAGGGTAGGGATGAGAAGAGGATGGATGCGAAAATCAGAGAAGAGAAGAGAGTCAGAGAAAAGGAAAAAGAGAAGGTCAAAGAGAGAGAGAGGGAAAGAGAAGAAAAGATGGATATCAGAAGAGTGGAAGCGAGAAAGGAGAGGGAGAGGATGAGAATAGAGAAAGCGAGGGAGAGGGAGGCTTCGAATAGGATCGATCGGGGAGATTTAGAGGGAACGAGAAAATGGGAGGATGATAGTGAGGAGGATAGTGATGATGAGGTAAGTAAGAGAGGAGGGGATAAGAAGGTGTTGGAGCAGGTGGAGAAGGGTAAGGGTTCTGGTGGGGAGAAGGAAAAGTTGGTTAATGTTTGACAGATTCTGTTTGGAGAGTGTGGAAGACTTTAGAGAGAATTGTTTTGGGAGTTTTTATGATGTCTAATGTATTTCATATTGGAGAATAATATTTGGTTTTGCGCTCCTAAGTGGGAATAAGTACTGGGGTGTGATGCTAATAGGAGGATTACTTGATCTCACTTTGAAATCACGCCGTTGGACCACCTAATGGTAAATCCGCCTTTTTGCTCTTGCTCACCCTTCCTCTTTCTGGAAAACTCACGGCATTTTTGTCAGCCTATTGGTATTTAAAGCAGAAAAATGAGGGATTGGTGAAAGATCCAATTGGAAGTGGACACCAAGGTTACTTACACTTATTACAGGCCAGTATATTTCCATATTTCATACGATCAAAGAAAGGTGTGGATGTTCTTGAAGGAGAAGGGAAGTTCGGGGAAGAATCAAGGGTTATACAGCTCCATTCTCATGAAGATCATTTCACCATGTTTGTGTGTTTTTCACTGTCACTTTCCATGCGCAACTTTTCATTTTGACCGACAATACTTCAGAAAGTCACATGAAGTATCCAAGAGAGAACTTATGCCTTCACTTTTGAGCATGGGGAATCAAGTGCTGAATGAGCGAATGGTAGAACTTTAACAGTTTCTGAAGTTCCATGTTTGGGAGGTACTGGCGAGTATCAAATCCATAACTCCTTGCCGGGTTAATGTAGCTTCTTTAAATTGGTAAATTAAGTGGTAACGAAAACTTGGTATGTAAATTAAACATTTGTATCATCGAAGTCCTTAAAGCTGCTTTTCAAATGTTTCAACCCTGACCGCAAATGGTCCCGGTTCGCAAGGTAGATTTGCGGAGTCTAAATGAAGTTAATGCTAATCG